ACCTAATGTACAAATTAAAAAAAAAACTCAACATGATGATATTCATCATTTTGCTTGACAAATTACTAGAAAAAAAGTTATGTTCTGCGGATTTTTTGTTTTGAAAATCTTGAAGAAAAATCAGAGTAATAATGCGCATGAAATGGCCCAGTATTACCTACAAGAAAGAAGTCTTGCTGTTGCTGAATTCAGTTTGTTTTTATTGTAAGTGATTCTAGGATTAATATTAGTTTTAATTTGTGGCCCTGACATTTCAAAGTGTACCAGTTTCTGTGAATAAGTGTTATCCCTTAATCTACATTGTGGGTAGTAAGTGTTAGTATCAGGTGCTGTATTCAGCATTGCAATCGGAACTTTATATCTTATACTTGACAGGTCTATTAGTTTTGTTCCTTACACTTATTAGGTGTCTAATGCTAGTCCTTTTTATAGTGTTTACTAAGGCCTTTTTTTAATAAGAATCCCAGGGCTGAAAATTGGAAGTTGTTAACCTTCTCCCTGCTGCCTAACCCCACAATTGATACAAAATTTGCTGCCAAATGGCTAAATTAGCAGGCTGAAGGTTAATATACTTTCCTACAATCTGAAAGGTTTTTCTGTAACCTGCAGGTTGCAACTGGGCATTTCGAGCCCTGGATGTTCTAGGAATGAACAAAAACGATTGTGAGTATCTATGTGTGATGTGTGTTTTAAATTAAAGCAAGTTTGAATAAAGATGTATATTTACAGGTGGAAAGGTGGTCTAACTTGTGGTCAGGAATGTTGACCTGAAGGTTCTGGGTTCGAATCCCATGCAGGCCCAGCGATTTTCCCTTGGAAAGGCATTATACACCTATTTCCTCCGTTGACTAGGTGAAAATGAGAACCTTAATGCTTTGATTATAAATGGAAGTCCCATGTTTGAGGAGTGCCACACCTCAAGCATGTAAAAGAACTCACTGCACTTATTGAAAAGACGAAAAGAGCAGGGGTCCTTGCCAGTGCGAGTGGTTCAAACCTTACAGTACTAGTTTGTTGACAGTCCTGTTATGTCAATCCTTCCACAAATGTGGTGTACCTAAGAAAGAAAACAATAAACAAATAGATATACAGTATTCTCAAGAAAACAACAATGTTGAATGCAATACCGTGTTTTTCAAAGATTATGACAAGAGACGTAAAAAATTTGCTATGATGGTATAACTCAAAGTTTTACCTTCATAATGTGCTGATTTGCCCTCAAGAGTAGGTACCGATAGCTACTAATGCATAAACTTTCTCTGAAAAACTCTACTGTTTCGAAGTCACTTACCTGTACAAGCCTAGAAGCAGGAGCTAAATTCCTCCTGAAAGCAAAAGGATAATTTAATGAATTAGTTCCTAAAGCTGTACAGGAACAACTTAATTTACTGCATAGTATTGCAAACTTTCTCTGAAAAACTCTACTGTTTAGAAGTCACTTACCTGCAGAAGCCTAGAAGCAGAAGCTAAATTGACTCTTCCTCACCAAAATTTCACCCTGTCCATTTCCAATCCCCCTTGGCTCTCCCGCCTTGAGAATGGGATGACGCTGCGAAAAAAACGTGGTTATAAAACAGGCCTAGCCCCAGGTGAGCTTAGTGTTATTGCTTGTAATATAATGTGTGTGTTGGCAGTGCCCATGAGTCCAGGATGTAGTGGATCAAAGCAGACGTGCAGGCCGGTGTAGTTAATGGCAGAGGGTTGTGGATTTGACAGCCCGTGTGTTCTGATAGTGATGGTAGAGGGGAGACAGAAGACAGGCCCGTGATTCATTATTGATTCAACCTGTATATTCTACTTCTTAGAACAAAGGTTCAAAGTACTAAATGAGACATAATGGAAATAAGCCTGTTACAGTAAGTCTTGAAATATTTGCAGCAGTTTTATTTTCGTGATACTTCTTAAATTATGCGAAATTGTGATGCCAAAATTTCACATCTACATCTACATCTACTTGATACGGGACAAAGTGCCTCACGGCACATCACGTCCCGGGAAAGGAGGTGCAGCTGGTGTGGCAGGTGGTGGTGCGCAACAAAAATATACAAACAAATGAAAAATGATCTATAAATAATAAATTGCAAAAAGAAGAAACCGAAATGTGCAACTATATACAAAAGCCACACCAGAAAACAAAAATGACCCTACAGCTGGGTATTGGCGGAGAGGCCAAGGTGACTGGCCAATCCCGCCTTAAACGCATCAAGGGATGTGCAAGATATGAGTGTACCTGGTAGTGTGTTCCACTCGATGACGGTTCGAGGGAAATAACTGGCTCTGTATGCTTCTGTCTTGCATGGGATGGTGATGAAGCGTGAGTGATGTCCTCTTGTAATGTTTGTGTTTTTGGTGAGAATGTTGTGTATAGGAATGGCTACCATGTTATTTACTGCTTTATACATTAGGACAAGTCTGGCTTGCTGCCTGCGTTGATGCAGGGAAGGCCATCCAAGTGATCTCAGTGTATCTGTCATGCTTGTTGTTGGTCTGTAATCTCCAGTAACGAACCTAGCGGCTCGCTTCTGTACTGCCTCTACTTTGTCTTCAAGTTTGTTTGTCTGTGCATGTAGTCGCTTGTGAGGGCCCCAAACTGTGTCACAAATATGTGTTTTGTGCTAAACTATTGTTTTGTCTTTGAACTTGAATAGGAGTTGCCAAAACCTCATTTTCAACTCCAACCATGAAATTATATTCCCACAAAAATAAATGAGTTTACTGTAACTGTAACTGTGGTTGTACATTAATTTTATAGCATTTGTGAATATTGATTGGAAAACTGCATGTATGCTACAAAATTGAAAAGCAAGCTAATTACAGCGTACGTTGAAAATCAGATGTACTTTATACATGTACAATGTAGATTTTTTCCTCCCATTCAAAAAAGCAGTATGATGTCATGAAATGTATTTCATTGCATGCATACAAATGTACTGTATAAAAGTTATTCCTATCTGATTTTTTTTCTGTCTTCTATTTTGTGTCTGGACACAATCCTATCATGATACTTCAAAACAACTGAGTTGCTGCTGAAGGCCATCAGATAATGTAGGGATTTGTCATGTAGATACACACTGTACATACAGTCACGTTCTTCTTTGAAGTCTTGAAACAAAAAGGTTTTGTCTGTGTTGTCAATACTTGTAACAAATGACCAAATAAAATATGACTTTGTTGGTTCAACTCTTATCAGCAGAATCTTGACAAAGATGAATAGAAGTATGGATTAGTACATGTACTAGAAATTGTGTTGCCTGCGGCTCTTTTTTGAGTCTAGTTCACTCAGGCACCTTGTCTTTATATCGCTGTTCTCATCGTCTGTTCTGAACCAGGTTATGGTGCAATTTTTGTTGTACAAGCCATGCACGAAATGAATATTGTTGATTAAGCATATTTACATATTTTTTTGCAATCTACACAACCTAAAAAAATATTTACATCTACAGTTACTGAAATGACAAAATCATCTAAAAAACATGGGACTACTAAGAAGAGGCCACTGCCCCCAAATATGAGCTCAAATCCCTGAGTAAGGCCATGTTGATTTGATTATATGGATGACATCCTCCGGGAACCCCAAAATTGATGCGCGCGTGCGAATAAAAAAAAAGTTTTGCAACAAAATAAGTTGTTTTCATTATGAAATCTACGTGGTCATGAGGGTTGAACAAATGGGACGGAATATGGTTTGGCGAATAATCTAGTCTTCAAGTTAATTTCTTTACAATTTCGTCTTTTTTCGTTTGATTTTGGCATTCTACGACATTGGTATGGTTTTTTTGTAACTTACGGTATATTTTTGCTCATTTTGCAACTGTTTTGTACGATTTACAGTATGGTTGAAAACTTTTTTTTTTTTGAAACGGCCGAAAATTCATGCGCGCGCGGATGTCATCCATATAATCAAATCAACATGGCCTAATGTACAGTGCATGGAGTAGGCCAGAAGCTCTTAAAAGTTGGGAATGGTTTATTCTTGCTAATAAGTGTTTTACTACAGGAAAGGTGTGTTATGCACACATTGGTCCAAATGGGCCACAGGGCAGAATTGGCTTCGTTTGATGTTTTACGTCCCAACTGTTACAAATCTTCCCTCCCCTACCTTTTTAATGCTCTCTTTTGGCCTTCATGACGCACTCGATAGTTCAAAGGTCCGGGCCTTGGAGAGAAATTTCGTCCTGGAGGTCGTACATTGTGTTTTTATGGCCCTGTTTGATCTATTTCCAGCTGCAATAAAATAGCAAGATTGGCATCAATAAAATAAGGTGGCTTCAAATTGAGTACATGTGATGTAAAATATATATACATTGTAATGCACTATATTTTTCTGTACATTTACTTGACATAGTTATGTGTTACCGAAATGAGGAAAGATTGCAAGTCATAGAATCGTGGTTCATTCATATGTGATTATTGATTCCACAATCAGACAGACAAAATTATCTATTCCTGTCATAAAATAGTCACAGCATGTTTTAATTTAAAGGCATCCATTGCAATTTCAGGGTGGCAGAACTGAAAAAGACTTTCAACGTCCATTTTCTGGTCATTCTTTTAAGTTTTAATATAGTGAGATGGATTAATCCTATCCCATCATGATGGCATACTGATATTCAGAATGCAAAAATACAATGTCACTGAATGTGACTGATGGAAAACAGTTGCTTCTTTTGTATTGTTAGTAGGCTGGTTCTAGTTATTTATTGGCATTACCCAAAGAATAAAGAGATTCCTCACATACCATGTAGTTTGTTTGGCGAGTTACATGTATTTCAAGACTTAGTGCTCAAATAAGAAATAATAGAAATGGTAGTGATTGTCAATATCAGACAGATTACCTCATCCAGAATATTTTTTTGTTTTGCTGCCCCGAAATTGCATTGGATGCCTTTAAACTTCCGCCATAATTATAAACTGGCCATTTGGCACCAAATTTGTATTAATTATGATTTATGAAGTTAGGCAGCGGGGAGAAGGTTAAGCATGTTGACGTGGTTTTACAGGTCCCAACAGAAACCTGGAGGCGGAGCGTGAGGCCTTTGAACGTGCCCTAGGTCTGCTGGCCAAGTCTGATGAAGTCACCTTCTCTGCCATCATCAAGCAGGACAACAGGAATTCTGGGAGCATCATCTCCTTTTTTGGAAGTGACGGAAGGTGAGTGTGGGTCACATGATCGTACCATAGTAACTAGTAACTTCACTGGTGTAGGAAGCAGTCACTTTCACAAAATGAAAAGAAGAAGACATGTTATCAAAATGAAAAAAAAAGAAGACATCTACGTACATTTGCATGAAAAATTTTCAAAAGGATTGAGATTGGATTGCAAAATGGCAAGACAAACTCAGTCTGGCTTCGTATGGTTCTTTTGTATGATAATGAACCTTGCAACATCTTAATTCTACAAAAGTATCTCTATTACAAATTGTAATATGATAGAGCAGTGAAAAAGGTCCTTGTAGGAGAGGATGATCATAGTAGAATGTATCTACAGACTTGGGCTTTGAACTCTTCCCATGGTTGCAGGTACTTGGAGCTTGAGACCAGTCGTAGGAAGAACACCATCCGTTTCCACTATCGATCGAGGGGTAAACTCTACAACGAGGCCTTTGTCTACCAGCTGGACAACCAGTGGCACAAGGTAAACACGCAGATCATATAAATTTTGCTTTTTGGTGTATGATTGCATGTAGTTTCTTTCTTACATTGTAGTTCTGGTTACTGAAGTATTATATATTGTTTTGGGTAGCTGAATTGTGTTTTTTGTCTTTCTGCTTGTCCTAATAGCTTTAATTGCATGGTGGGTGTGAATTAACTTTGACAGTTGATAGGTCATGCCTGAAAGTGACCCAGCATGTGCCAGGTAGGAGTAAGTGGGTGGTATGTGGGGGGATTCAGGAAGTGGTACCTGAAGTAATACCTGATTAAATTACATCATACAATCCCCTCCACAGTTCTAGTACATTCACCAAAACCCACTTCCTGGTGGTCTGTGAATTTGAAAGTTAAGAAAACCCCAAATACTTACCAGAAGCCTCAAACCTCCACTTTCTTGTTAATTGATATCTGGCATACTAAGAGTCTGCAGTACTATCTTTAACTGCCAGGTGGCACTGTATAAGAGAGAAATAATTTGGTTAACATTGTTTTCCTTATATGCAGATATCTCTGACCATCAGTGGGCAACAAGCAATACTACACGTGGACTGCAATCAGATCTACAAACGCAAACTCAAGGCCACACCAAGCCTCGACTTTTACGGTAAAAGCGTCAGCCTTTGGCTGGGTCAAAGATCAAAGGATCGCTTGGTGTATGAGGTAAATATCAATTTTGTTATATGTATCTGTATAGCTGGTATAACCACCCTTCGGCGTAACACACCAGCTTCGCAGGCACGCAGCGCAGCGCCAGCTGGCTACATTACACTGAACGACTTTTGTAGTACATTTCAAACATGTGTGATTTATGTACATGTAGTACATTTTAAACGTGTGAAATTGGCAGTCAATTTTGATCTAATGTTGTTTTGCCACTTCCTTCCACTAATGTACTGTGTGTTGTTGATGAATTCCTGTAGGGTGGGATTCAGGATGCAAAGATCATTGTTCATCCTCGTGGCTACCAGTCGCAGTGCCCTGACCTGGACAAACCCTGTCCAACCTGTGGAGACTTCTCAAGTCTGGTGGACACAGTCAAGGACCTGACTTATCTTGTGGCAAAGGTATAGTATACTGGGCAGAATTTATAGATTGAAGCAATCAATTGTTACCTCTGTGTATGGAGGTTTTGTTTTCCAGTGTGTCTTTTTGTGTGTTTGCTTCTCGTTTCTTCTGTTAAGTACACGTTAGGCATGTAGAGGGATCTGATCATGACAGGAAGTTAGGTCAAGGGTCCTAAAAATGTCTCAGAAAGGGTCATCTCATTTCCTCACCTTCAATTTCATCTGGATGTTGGCTTATGGGAGCCAGGGAGATATTGTATAGATTGATTCAGCAAGAAGTTCAGAATAATCAATAAAACAAATTCACAAAGTTGTAGAATTTTACTTGAAAGTGTTTTTAAAGAAAGGGATGGGAATGCCCAACCCAGGAAAAGAGATACTAGTACTACATGTACATATATGTACACTGCTGGAGAAATTAAGTTGTGTTACTTAGATTTGATTTAATCTAAATAACATTACAAATGTGTTCATTCCCACCATTTCTACAGTTAAATGCCACTCAGCAGCCGGAGACCAGAACAGCCACTTCCTGCAACTGTCCGCAGGTGTGCTTCGTGGGGCCACAGACGTACCGCGAGGGGGACAGCTGGCTTGCCGGGTGCGATGAGTGCACCTGTCAGGGTGGGGAGGTGCAGTGTGCCCCACGGTGGTGCCCAGAACAACCCTGTCCGAACCCCAAGGTTCCAGAGGGAGAATGTTGCCCAAAGTGTGGTGGTAAGCTCACATTTTAATCTACCTTAAACTTTCACAAGATCTGTGAATTATAGTTTCATCAGGTTGGTACAATAAGACACTTAGTAAAGAGACTCCTTTTACACAACCAAGTCTTTTATTCAGCCGACGTTTCGGTGACCGTCTGTCACCTTCCTCAGGGCAATTCTGACTGGTTCACATCAGCTGAATAGAAGACTTGGTTGTGTAAAAAGAATCTTTTTACTCAACTTTCACAAGAGTTTAGAAAAAAAGATATAACGATAAAGTTTGTCTTAACAGATTTTAAAACTTAAAGGTGCCAGAATACTTTTCTCTTAAAAGCTATAGTACCTAACTACAAGTTACATATCTACTATAGAAAATTAGGAACAAAAAGCAGGCCTTGTAGAAAAGTTACTTATATTGAGTGCTTAAAAAATGTATATTGCTTTTCACACCTTGGTCATGATCATGTACTGTTCATCCATTGGTCATGAGGGGATCACTCACTGATCATGTGCTGTTCATCCATTGGTCATGGAGGGATCACTCACTGATCATGTGTTGTTCACATGTACAGCTAACTGCACCACCAGTTCTGGCAAGAATCTACTTGATGGAGAACACCACACTGCACAAAAGTTTGGGTCCCGATGTCTCCTAGATGTCTGTGATGTAAGTACTGATTCTTTTCATTGCTAAAACATGCATTAAGCTAGTTGATATTCGTGTTAGCAAAGCTAGCAGGTCCACAAATGTATGATATTTGCTGTTGCTAAGTACATGATTTTCTCAACGACGTTGTAGAATGACAATACACTGTACTTAGAAGAAGTGTTAACTGTGTTGTCTGTCTTGTCAGAATGGTAACATAAGGCAAGACTTGGTGACGGAGGAAGACTTTTGTCCCCCTCTGGATTGCGACACATCTCAGCAGATCGCAGTGGACGGTGAATGTTGTAACAAATGTAAAGGTAAGCTAGTGCTGTAATTCTGTTTATGTCACACCTGGGCCACGATAATGTTAGACACGGGTGTTCCAGCCTGTGAGATTATAACTACATGTAGCAGTACAGCCCAGGATTCTATTTGTTTATCATATGGGCTATCACATCCTAGAACCCTGTATTTTGTTTCGTAACATAAAGCCCAGCCATTATTTCATAAGTTAACCTTTATCTGTGTAACTGGAATGTTGGGATGTCAGAACAAATGTCCATCAGAACGTAGGGGTGTCAGAACATTTTGTACTAAAATTGTAGGGCTGTCCCCATGATTCCACAGTTTTTCACCCTAACATTGTCCCTGTTTGTGTGTACAGAGACTGACCACTGCCTGGACGGTAATGAGTGCCACAGCAATGCCACCTGTGTGAACATGCCCACAGGTTACACCTGTGTGTGTAAGGAGGGCTTCCTGGGAGACGGCAGGACTTGTACAGGTAAGGAGACGGGCAAGAAGATTGTCGTTTTTCTCTTTCAACTACTTGACAATATTGTGTCCTAAACCTAAAACAACTACCTAAAACCTGTATATGACTGTCTCTTGTCACGTGATTATCCCATTAAGTCACGTGACAAGAGAACTCCAAGACGAGATCTTAATCGGTTTGATGAAGAGACAGTACGTCTCGAAAGCTCCCCAGCATAGCTGAACTTTTGTTGTGTGTATTCGTATAAATATTTTGTCAAAAATATTGTGTACCTTGTTTGGAGTCAACACCACTTTTTCTCTTTTAGCTACTTTAGTTCAGTAACTACATTTTGTTATCTGCTGTTTATTTTATGCTGTATGACAATCATGCATGTTTTGATATATGTTGCTTTGACTTAGCGTTATTGTATAAAATGCTTTATTTTACTCTTATTTATCTTTTCTTTATTTTGTTTGTTTGTTTTGTTTGTCAAACAGGGAACACCGATGTAGTTATTCAAAAGGCTTTTAGGTTGTTTCGAAGCTTCAACATCGAAGGTAAAATGTCTCAGTTCATTTGCCCACCACTTTTTTTGTTGATCATTTTTTCAACATAAAAACAATTACATTGCCTTTTATATTACTATTATGTGTATAGTCTATATACAAAGCTTATTTTGTATGATGTATTTCTCTCTGATTCAATATAGACAGCAAGCATTGAGTTTTCAGGCCAATTCCACTCTGAAAAAGTACATGTTGGTTACACAAGGATATTAACTGTCTCCCTGTTGCCTAACCCTGTGTGACCAATACAAATTTGGTTTAAAAAATTACACTGCAGCAGGGAGAAGGTTAAAGGTCTTGATAAACTTATAGTTTGATCATCAAAAGTGTGCCAAAGACATGCTCTCTTTAAGAAGTTCTTCATTTTCTACCGTTACAGATGTGGATGAGTGTGCCTCCATCGGCAGTCCTTATACATGTAACCAAAACAAATTTGGATTAAGAAAAATACTACTTCAGGCCACATGCACCAATTTAATTTGTTGGTTCTCGGATTCGCCTCTTCATTTTTTTCTGATTTGCAAAAAAAAAAAAAAAGAAACTCTGTTCT